GGCGCATCGCCGTCCTTGTTGATGGCTGCAATGACCTTGCTGTCCTTCATGCCCGCCAAGTGCTGGATGGCGCCCGAGATGCCCACTGCCATGTACAGCTGCGGCGCCACGACCTTGCCTGTCTGGCCAACCTGCAAGCTGTTGTCTGCATATCCGCTATCAACAGCCGCCCGCGACGCACCAATAGCCGCGCCCAGCGCATCTGCCAGCGGCTCCATCACCTTGTCAAAGTCATCCTTGGACTTGAGACCGCGGCCGCCCGAGACCACACGGCCCGCCGTCGAGAGGTCCGGCCGGTCCGACTTGGCCAGGTCCTCGGACAGCCACTCGGTCGGGCTGTCGGCCTTGGGGTCGACGCCCTCCTCCACGGCCGCGGAGCCCTTGCCCAGCTCCGCGGGTGCAAAGGCCGTACCGCGGATCGTGATGAACTTTGTGGAATCGGTGGACTCGACGGTGGCGATCGCGTTGCCGGCGTAGATGGGGCGCACAAAGGTGGACTCGCTCTCAATGGCCGTGATGTCTGAGATTTGCTGCGCGTCCAGCAGCGCAGCCACGCGTGGCAGCACGTTCTTGCCAAACGCCGTGTGGCCCGTGATGACATGTGTGTAGCCGCCTTTCTTGATGTTCTCGACCAGCAGCGGCGCAAAGTTCTCGGGAAGGCCCTGCAGACACGAGAGAGAGAGGTGACGGCACATGGTTAGCCAGATGCCGAGGTATAGCTTGGTTTGCATGTCGATGATCAGCGGCAACGCACCTTGTCATAAGCGGCATTCTCCACCGAGATGATCTTGTCGAGGCCGTCTGCCGTGGCAGCCTCGTCCGCGACTGGCTTGATGCTGCTGCCGGCGACGAAGCCGTGCACCGGCCCGCCAATCTGCTTGGCCGCTGTAATGGCGCTCAGCGAGCCATGGTTCAGCTTGCCGTCCTTTTGCTCGAGGATGGCCAGCGTCGACGCAAGCCGGCGCAGCGCTGCGGGACTGAAGCCGCCAGAGCAGGCGGAGGTGGCTGCCTCGTGGGCAATGTGCCGTCGCAACTGTTGCGGTATCACTCTGCGTGCTGTACAGAGCATGCTGGGCGGAGAGAGGCTGGACGGTGTATGGGCTGTGGCTCTCGTGGAGAGGATAAAAGCCAGGAAGAGAACGAACCGATTGGGAACGAACCCAAAAGCCGCTCGGCTATTCAAGGCCTCTCCGCAACCGGGGCAGCGGGGGGGGCGGCGGCGGCGGCGGCGCAGTGTCAAGCCTCGGGGTAAGGGTTAACCACAAGCAGGCGTGGCCAGGTTCCTGGACTGGCCAGGGTTAGGGTTGAGAGTCTGCATCGTCGGATTGGCGGACGATTGCACTGATGCCTGAGGCAGCTATGCTTTCCCCTGCGGCAGAGCTTACCAAAGCCACAGCAAACAAGCAGAGCAGGCAGAGCCCCAGCAAAAGCAGTAACACGCGACCCGGGCTCCATTTTCATCCAACGCGAATCCAGCACCAGCACCTCGACACGGCCTTTCTTGCGCCTGGTCAACTCAACCCAGCCCAGATCGACCCCCCACATCACCACTGGCACCGGCCCACCAGCACACGGTTGTCGACCTCCAAGACATCCTCGACTTCTGCCGTCAGCTTTCGTCTACACACGCGCAATCACCACTTGTTGTTCTCTCTTTTGCTCTCCCAGCACTGATTGCTCGTGCAAGGTTTGGTCCGTCCGCCAGGCCAAACCTCCCTCCCGCTTTTGCAGAGCGCAGCGTCCCTTTTCATCGCAAAAGCGACCAGGCTGCAGCACACGGAGCCCGCCAGATCAAGATCCCAGAGACTGCCTCGTCCGTCACGATGGAGGAAGACAGCGTCAGCTACAGCACACCTGCCAATGGCGCATCGCCAGGTAGCAATCCCGTCCCAGCGCAACCGCCTCAGAGCGATGCGAACACGGGCGGCGAAGGTAAAGCCAGCGCATGCAGCAATCCACGCGCCAAGCACGCGCGCTTTTCTGTCAGGTCAAACTAACTAACTCATTGCCTCTCCAACGCTAGACGTGCAGATGGGCGAGACCTCGTCAACAACCGACGCAGCAATCAAGCAAGACAGCGCCACGCCCGCGCCAGGCCCTTCCACAGACAGTATTCTCGATGCGCCCGAAGGCCCGGCCCCCGAGAGCACCGCCGCGCAGGATGAGGAGATGGCTGACGCCGAGGGCGAGCCCAAGCCCGAGGCTCCCAAGGAAGGTGAGGTAGCCGGCGATGCCAACGCTGGCAAGACCAAGGAAGCCATTGAGAACGCGGCGCGCGAGCACCTGATTTCACAGACCCACTCGATTGTGCTGCCCAGCTACAGCACCTGGTTCGACATGAACAACGTTCACCCTACCGAGGTCAAGGCTCTGCCAGAATTCTTCAACCACCGCAACCGAAGCAAGACGCGTGCTGTATACAAGGACTACCGCGATTTCATGATCAACACCTACAGACTGAACCCTGCCGAATACCTGACCGTGACGGCTTGCCGACGAAACTTGGCTGGCGATGTTTGCGCCATCATGAGGGTCCATTCCTTCCTGGAGCAGTGGGGCCTGATCAACTATCAGGTATGCTGGACACCCGGATGAGTGCAAGATCTTGTATTCGCAAACTAACAATGTCTCAGGTCGATCCTGACCACCGCCCGGCTCCTGTCGGTCCTCCCTTTACCGGTCACTTCAAGATCATCTGCGACACGCCCAGGGGCCTTCAACCGTGGCAGCCAGCAGCAGACCCGTTGCTTGTCAAGGGCAAGCCACATCCGGATACGGACGCCAAGGCCCAAGCCACGCCGGTCCCCAAGAGCGAACTGAACCTCGAGCTCGGACGCAACATTTACGAGGCCAACGCCAAGGGTGCAAAGCTCAACAAGACGGAAAGCAAGACCAACGGCGACGGACCGCAGACCAATGGTGTCTCGGGCGCATCCGCAGAAGACGTCACAAAAGCTCCGGTCGCCAAGGTGAACTGCCAGACGTGCGGCATCGACTGCACAAGAATCTACTACCACAACACCTACGTCGACCCTGCCTCCACCAACAACAAGAGCAACGACATTTGCCCAAGTTGTTTTGTCGACGGCCGCTTCCCGTCGAATCAACCAAACAGCAACTTCACACGCATGGAGAACCCCACCTACACCGCCACCCTCGACCGCGACGCGCCCTGGACCGATGCCGAGCTGCTGCGACTATTGGAAGGCCTGGAGAGATTCGACGACAACTGGCAGGAGATTGCGGACCATGTCGGCACCCGGACAAAGGAGGAGTGTGTTCTTCAATTCTTGCAACTGGATATCGAGGATAAGTACCTGGAGGCCGAGGCCCCCACTGGTCTCGCGATGCTCGGCTCCGCCGGAGGCCAACTGCCCTTTAGCCAGGCGGACAACCCTGTCATGACCGTTGTGGCGTTCCTTGCCAGCCTTGCCGACCCAGCCAGCGCGGCTGTGGCTGCTGGCAAGTCTGCAGAGGAGCTGCGGCAAAACCTGCGCGGCAAGCTCGAGTCGAGCGGCGCCGTCGAGGCCCAGTCAAACGGAAAGGGCAAAGGCAAAGAAGCAGAAGGTGGCGAGTCAATGGAGATTGACATTCGCCAAGAGACCACGACGACGACGACGACGACGACCAAGACTACTACCACGGCTCTGGCCAACATACCATTGGCCACAATTGGCGCCCGCGCCGACGGTCTGGCTTCGCATGAGGAGCGCGAAATGACACGCCTCGTCTCTGCTGCTGTGAACATCACGCTGCAAAAAATGGAGCAAAAGATGAAGTACTTCAACGAGATGGAGGCCATCCTGCAAGAAGAGCGCCGCGAACTCGAGCGCGGCCGGCAGCAGCTGTTCCTGGACCGGTTGGCGTTCAAGAAGCGTGTCCGTAGAGTGCAGGATGAGTTCAAGGCCGCGGCTGCCGTGGGCGGCGAGCAAGGCGCCAGGGCGGCCATGGACATTTCCATGGATGGTGACAGGCTCAACCTGCAGCCAACGCTGGCAGCAGGCGGTATACAACCCCTGAGCAGCGCCGGACAGATCAAGTCTTATGAAGCATAGGAGCCCCTGGCTTGATTCTGCATACCATTGCCGCAAAGCTTTGTTCATGTACGGCTCAGGGTCGGCACAAGATGCGCGGTTGCCGGTTGGTGGTTCTGGAAATGCCAGGGTGATGGGTGTCCAACCGTACAAGAGGCAAGCGTGGAAGACAAGCTTGAGAGTGGTGCCAGCGGTTTTATGAGGAGTGGAGTTGAATGCGCATCCAAACATGCGATTGGCAACCTGCATGAAGGTGCTTCGGGGCAAAGCATGCCAGTGTTCCAGTGTTCCATGAACAGGGACGCCCAAAGCACATGTACACCAGGGCAGGTTGATGACATACAGCTGGTCAGAAGCCAAGTTCCAAGTGTGGGCTATTCCCACAGCCTTGTGCTTGAGAGCTTAAAATTCCTCCACGACCGACGGATCACAGCCTCTTTTGGATGATCCAAAAGAACGGTGTTACGAAGGGATAGTCCAGGGACCTGGCTCGACCAGGGAAAAAAAAAAGATACACTGTTACTGTGGGTTTTTACTTGTGTACGAAATAGCTTGTTTTCAGTTTTCATTTCTCCCTTGAGCTTGATGTCGCCAGGGAACGGGAACCGGCAAAGAGGCGGTGCAGATCGGTACTTAGAAGCCTCTTTTAATGCTATTATTCTTTGCATGCCCATCTTGACCACGTAGCACCGGGCACTCGACCGTATTTTGCTTCCAGTCTGCCTTGCAATTGACGTCGACCTCGCTCGCTGTAATGTTGTTTGGCTTATTGTTGTTGCCCCCCACCCAGTCTGACCGCAGGGCCATGATCAGCAGACTCCAATCTAAAACCTCGACTCGTTCACCAGAACACAGTGTATGAAAATCAAAACAAGATGAGCAGTAAGCCAGACACATCCAGTATCCATAGCAGTACAAAAACAAGTCAAAGATGGCTGCAGCCCGCTTCAAAATGGAAAAAATTAATGGACACATAGGGAATCGAACCCTAGACCTCTCCCAATGCTGCTGACTAAGCAGCTGTGCTAAGGGAGTGTTATACCACTAAACCATGCGCCCACTTTGGTGTTGGTTATGAGCATGATTTATACCATAACTATATATCGAAAGTATAGCAGCTGTTCCTACATCACCGTCTCGTTTCTTTAGTATACAATATTGAATCCGTATACTCTGCTATCCAGCTACTTTCCATTTACTTTTTACTTTACTTTAAGTAACCTTACTAGAATCGCAAATCTACTTTGTTAGTAAAATTTTCCCCAGCCACATTATCTCTGCTAATTAAAATGTGGTAGAAGGTTTGTATAACAGATAAACTGCGAGTAGAGTGTTGTACCACTAAACCATGCGCCCGGTTCTTGGTAGCCGTGAGCATCTAAAATTTGCCAACAACAAATTGACGACACATCTTCCGCACTGGTCGAGATGTCTATTTCTAACGTCGAGATTTCGCAGTACTATAGTAGCAGCTATGACACCCCCACTTGGGCCCCTGGGTGGTGCCCGCACGAGGCCCAGTACTATGTGTGAGGCAAGTATCAAGTACCCCCTGCAGCAACCTCCTCCCGCCTGGTTCTCGTGCGTGGCTACGGACCGGATCATCTGCCGAGCCGACCTCCTTCCACCCTCTAGTTCCAAGGTTCGCTTGATATGTTCCTCGTCCTTGTCACAAACAACGCAAATGACCGCTGCGTGCTCAACTCCATGGCAAGCTAGCCTCTGAGCACATCCAGCTCGTCAAACTTTACCCGCCGACCGCAACACGAAAAAGTAAAAAAATAAAAAAGAATCACATGTCAGGCCTTAAACACTCACACGAGAGTGACATTTCAACGACCAAGGCCATTGAGACCAAGCCCCCAATATTTGTTTGTGTTCCGACGTGGCTAGTAGACCTGTAATTCTGGTCTCACTGGTCGCTCGACAAATTCACAACTGACACCCAGCCATGCGGAATCTAGGGTAGAGATCCCCTGGTTCTGCTCCTTAGGTCATGACCCGAAATACTGACCAAGTAATAGCGGCAGCTAGATTGCAGTTTACTTGGCAACAATCTGCTCCTCGTAACTCTCGCTACTGTTGGGTAGGTAGCATGCTAAATAAAACAGTATATATGCCTTGTATCCTACAGATCCGCCAACCTCGGGGCTGCATGCTTGAACACATTCTGCGGATCGTACTTGTTCTTCAGCGTCCTGATTGTGTCGAGGTGTCTGCCATACACCTTCTGCAGATGCACGTCCCCGTGATCCAGCAATGAAAGGTAGGCGCTGTCCAGAATGTTGGCGTGGTCCTCGTGCTCCTTCAGCTCGTTCAACAGTCCTTGGCCCCACGCCGACGCTGTCTCTTGCAGGGCCGGGTCGGCCGTCATGGACACGATCTCCACCATGTGGTGGTCCTCACGAGCGCCGAACACGGATGGCACGAGCGCCGTGGCATGCCGCGTGCGGAGGCTGTGGATCGAGATCATGGCGTTGCCGCCCGGAACGGTGGCGCTGTATTTGGCGAGGATTCTGACCGCTGTGGGGGTCCACCTTCGCAGATTCAGCGTATACGAGCGGCCATGGACGCCGTACGTGACCAGCTTTTCGTTGTCCTGGGCGTACTGGGCCGTGGTCTTGGCCTCGGTTGCGTTGACGATGCACTTGCCAAAGGTAGCCACCGCGTCAATCAGCTTGCGCCCTTGGGCATGATCGTCACTAACCCAGGTGGCAATGGCCGCAAGAACCTTGCCTAGGCCGGGGAATTCCATGACAAACAGCTGCAGCTTCAGGGCGGGCGGCGTGTCGCCGAGGCTTGCGATCCCGCTGGTCAAAGCCTCCCAGGCCGCCTGCATGTCACTCGACTCGAAGATGAGAGTGCCGACCAGCATCTGTGTGAGGGACAAGGAAGAAGCAAGAAGAAAAGTGATTAGCAAGGTCCGGTCTTGGCGAGCGGCTGCATAGAACCCAGGGGACTGATACGAACCTCGTTGAGTGGGTAGACCTTGATGGTCAGCGCAACAATAACGCCAAAGATGCATCCTGCGCCACGGATTGCCTTGAGCAACTCATCATCGGCCTCAATGAGGTTGCCGCGGGCGTCGATGAGGGTTGCCCCAACAATCTGGTCCACACCGGGGCCATAGAGGCTGGAAAAAGGGCCATAGCCACCAGCAGTGCTCCATCCGACATAGCCAACCGATGCAGTCGATCCGCTGCAAGAGGATGCATCAGCTTCCACGCAGAGGAAAGAGACAAAAAAGAAAAGAAGAAAAAGAAAAA